CATTCAGATATACCTGATAACAGCCAGTAGAAGACTACACCAAAATATATTTTTGACTTATTGCACGCTAATTTGATCAAAATAATTTCTGTTTTTTTTCCTTCATATGTTGTTGAGGGGCCAAAGAAAGACTTTAAACAAAAAGAAATCCAATATTCTTCCTATTTTTCTTGGATTGGGTTTTAATGGGCTAATAGTGTTTTTGAAAACCAAATGTAACTGTCCTCTAAACATTGTTTTTGCCTTCAGTGGAGAAAATAAACTTAAGTTTAAAGCAAAACAAAAAAATGTGTGAAGTGCTTTGGTTTAATAACAGGTGAGAGAATAAATATTCTGGTGTTTTTGGTGCCGTTACCCTTTCGGGAGCCAGACTCTGGTTTCTCCTTAATTCTTCTCCAATTCTTTTTCAAAAAAGCGGCCTTACTTTAACCCTATAATCCCAAATGTGTCATATATATTGATACGGTTTCTGAAGTCTTTTGGTTCTGAGACTTTTTGCATCATTCAGTGGTAAAAGCTTTGCTCAAACCCCTGTTGTACACATTCAGATATACCTGATAACAGCCAGTAGAAGACTACACCAACATACATTTTTGACTTATTGCACGCTAATTTGATCAATTTGCCGTTACCCTTTCTGGAGCCCGGGGGTCGGGGGTCAGACTCAGGTGTGCGAGGCTCATGCACTCCTCCAGGGTCCGGATGAAGGTGGAACAGGTGGCGCTGAGCAGCGAGGCCTGAGGGAGAAACAGCAGAATATATTTAAATATATAGAATATATATATGGAATATAGAGAAACGGCATCAGAGCTGAGCCAGGCTGGTACAGATCCCATTTCTGGATCCAATGGGCCGCCCATATTTGCAAAATATATTCATATATATATATACTGATATCCGGTCCGGTCATTTTCCAGCACACCCTTAAGCATTAGCATTAGCATTAGCATCTTTAACCCACAGGTCTGTGTCCTAACCATTAAGACTATCTGTAAAAATGTCAGCTGTGTGGGATTATTTTATCCTTAAGGACGAAAAAGACGAAGAGCTGGATGTAAAACAGAGTTTATAGACTATTTTCTACTCAGATTGTTGGTGTGTTTTGCCTTTTTAATACACTTGTTACTATTCACTGATGCCATTTCCAATCCCACACAAGCATTAGCATTAGCATCTGCTAACCCACAGGTCTGTGTCCCAACCATTAAGTTGTTATCAGAGTAAACCCCTGTTCAACATGAGTTACTTACTTACTTAGTCTGACAACTAAGTAAGTAGATAAATAACAACAATCACTTTTACAAAATTTACTGGACACAAAAAAAGGGTAAGGGTGTTAAAAGAAGTTTCTAA